GTATGTATGCAGGTAGGTAAGAACTAAATTAGCTATCCAATAGTATGCTAGACGCCAGGTAGCCATTATGTGGTCACTTATATTCCAACAAATGCGAAATTGTTACATGCAACCGGCAGTGAATTGCAACCACAAAGGTGAAGTGGAGAAGCAGAAATCCATTGCCAACACACACATAAGCATCTGTGCATTAGGGTGCATCACTTTACATACAAAAAAGTCGGTACTCTTTTATTCATCAGAATTATAAATTCTATTTTATTTTACGACTCCCGCCAAAAAGAAGAGTTTAATCTTAGAAGGTGCATACATACATACATATGTATTTATGAAATTGTTTAAAAATTTTATCATTGGACTAATAATTATTAGGGTTTTTTTTTGAATTTTTTTCTAAACGATCCAGCTCATGTAAATCATAATATTTTTCCAAAATGATTTGGCGGCAGTCTTAAAATATAATAAATTTCATAATTCCAGCGGAAAAAAAACCTCAACTATTTTTGGTGAGGCACCTTAATGTGCCTACATACATATGTATATCCCTTATTGCTCATATTACGTTCATTTGTATGTTGGAGAATAGTTCTTGGAATGTCAGCAAAAAAAGGCAAAAAGACAAATAATCAGTCGATTGCTTTTACCTGTCGCTAAGTCGTCCACTTGTGAAATATGAACAATAGATGTATGTATGTCGATATGTACATATGTAGCATCATCTGTTTCGATTGGCTTAGATTAGCTCAGGATAGTTGCCTCTTGGTGTGGAGGCTTGAGGGGATGTTGAATCTCGCCGCACCGAGCTTTCAACAGCCAGGTGAGAGCTCCTCCGTTGGCCGACGTCGATGGACAGCTATGCACCTTGCATTCCAGAATTTTCGCCCAACGTTCGCTGAGCCGACTAAGAGCCTATCTGTCCACATTCAAACCCTATTTAGCCAGTTGAGTCTTTATAATTTTCTTTCTAGCCGGCAGTTCCTCAATAGTGCCAGCTAAGGGCCTTCATTTCCGTCTTGCTAGCAGAGTATGTATTTATATGTAGCGCTTGGATTCTAGCAACGGTCTGCAGGGATCGGTTCGGCCCGAAATGAATCCAAAGCGTTTGAGGATTGCGGAGTACATTGCATTAAGTGAATGGTAGGGGTATTTCGAAGTACCTCGCTGATTCCAATTAAGGCAGTTCTTTCCACTCTCTTCAATTGCTAAACGATGATAACCTTGTCCTGAGCACTCTCTGCTATAAGGCACCAAGCAATAAAATTGCAACACTATATGTAGGACTACCGACACCTTCTTTAACCTACCCTCTATATTCGGTATGCAGGAGAGCTTGCTGTTAAGCATCAAGCCCCGATTCTGCATCCTGTCGCAGAGCGTTAAGGGAAGCCCACACGTTGAGGGAGGTCAAAAAAATTGAGATTTTATACCTCCAAACTCCAATGACTGGCAAAACAAAGCCTTGGATGGCTCCCCCTTCTTTTTATGACCACCACAGTACGCGTTTAAAGGACTTTGATTTTAGGGTATGCGATGTACGGATCCTTAATGGAAAGGTGCCTCTGCCCGGCTAGTTTATGTTCTCGGGCGGACATCACTGGCAACCCAAAAAAATGTGGTGGACGGGGCAAGGCAAAAAATGCGTCAGGCTTTGCGACATCTAAAACAGCTGGCGCGTAAATTAGCTATGTTGAATTTGTAGTGGGAAAGAAACTCGAGGAAGAGGAAGGCCCCCTTTGCGTTGGAAATACCAGGTGGAGAAGGACTTGGCTTCACTTGGCATTTCCAACTGACATCAGTTGACACAGAAGAGAAACGACTGCCGTGCTTTATTGAACTCGGCCAAAAGCATATAGCCGGTTACAGCGTGAAACAAGAAGAAGAATAATTAGGTAAAAAAATTATATAACACCTTCGACCATAAACTTGTTTGGAAATATAACCTTGAATATACATACATATATGTACGGATCCAAACCATGTATACATTTTTTACTAACTTTTATTTAAAAACGTCATTATGATGTCACTTTGATCGATGGCTTGCTTGTCGAGATCGGTTATGAAATTTTCCTGTTCTTCGAGATCACGTTTTGAACGCGTAGGCGTTTCGCTATTCTCCTCCTCGGTTAAACGATGATAGACATCGAGTAGAAATTGTGGTGCTGATTTTCTGGAATTGTGAAATGTAGATATTGAAGTATTAGAGTCAACATAAACTAACAAATCAGCAGATATTTAATAAAAAATAAAATAAATATAAGTTAACGATATCAAATGACTTTTATTGAGAACTATAGACATACATACATATTTTGATGTAATATATAAAGGTATAAATAATTGATAAATTATACGTTTTATTTCTGGTCGACAAATTCATATACGTTACGGTGGTGCAAAAACAAATTTACAATGTTAAGCTCTCACCCCCTAGGATTTTGCTAAATGGTATAAAAAAAACCGGTATTTTTTTGTAATAAATATCATATTTGGGTCACCCCTTGAAATGCAATAGAGGGACCCATAACAAATTGCTCGTATTAAAAAATGGTTAAATAAACAATTGGGTATTATTATTGCAAGCATCCTGAAGAGAAACAGAGTTTTTCGATCCAAAAATTTTGATTTTCAAGAATTCCATAACATTTTCACGAAAAAGTGTTTTTCCCCTTATAAAACACATATGTATGTACGTGGAAAACTTTATGGGGTTTGAGGCAGTTCTAAATATCTATTATTTTTAAAATACGGGTATTATTTTTATTTTGAAAAGTCCTAGGGGGAGAGCTTAATATTTTAAACTTTTTATAAATTTGTTTTTATTTGATTTTTTTTTTTTGGTTTCCTAAAGATATTAGAATGTACATTTATTTCCTATTGAATTTTTTTCCATAACAATGTGCACAAAAAGTAGAAATAACATTCGACAACGCTTCTTTCGCCAACTATATGACCTTAGGATATTATAATGAATTCCTGTCTAGCGTCCAAAGCCAGAATTTAAAAAATAAGAGCTATCGTAGCTTTTCTAAAAGTAATTAGATATCTATCAGGTCTGAGCGCAAAAATATCAAAATTGATACATGTTCATGTATTTATGTGCACAGATTTGTGTATGTACATACATACATATGTAAATCCACATGAACCAAATTTTTTGCATTGCTCCGTTTTTCGGTAATTCGAATCTTTCTTTTTCACAGCTATTGAATACAATTTCGCAAGTATGAAAAGTAATACTTGCAAACGAGTGCAATGCATTCCCCTTGTGGAATATGAAACAAGCGATTTGTAGACGAAATGGAGCCCCAGAAAATGGGTGCATATAAAAACATGAGGGCGATTCCAGCGAAAAGTCTACCGCGAAAAAAAAAAAAATAAAAATATATATCTAACTTGGGCCGATTGGCTGCTTTTATAATATATATTGGTTATGTAAGCAGAAACATTTTTGCCAAAAATGGTCTCGTTAGTTGACGCCCGGGTCGAGATATTTTGAAAACTCGTATTTATGTCTGATTTGTTTCACATTGCAAAAAATGGAACCGCTGGTGGCGCTGATGTCAAAATAAAAAGTACGTTCGACATGAAAAGCATGTTTTCTTCTCGTTAAAAATTCTTTCAAGATCAATATTAGCAAAAATTTTTCAATGCAAATTTTAGTAACGTAACCAACAGCTGTAATTTTTTACTGAATAAAATTTCGACTTTCTAAATTTTTTTAACATTTTGTCATACAAGTGTCACGTACCGCCTGATTGGAAATACCCACTTCCTGCGTTACGGACATTCCATTTTATTTAACTGATATTAGGGTTATACGTTAGGGTGATAAAAACTGAGCCCTGGTGGGTAAGTACTAGAACGGGGTACTTGAGGTCAATGAACTTTGTTAAAAAAAATTTCTCCTCGAGAAAAAAAAATCGATGTATCATACTTTCATATCCGACTGTACATGCCGAAGATATGACGAAAAATGCAAAAAAGCAAACCCTATGTTCAGCAAAAAAATTGTTATTCAAAATTACTTTGAAAAAAATACTTTGGATTCGAATATGAATGGCGAACGGCGAACTTTTTTCAGGTACGGTGTAAAATACATATATTTATATGTGCATATGTACACATATACCATACATGCAGATAATTGAAATTTTTTCTATGCAAATAAAAAAAAAATATGCATTTTATAACTCAATCAAGGAAACAACTACAAAAATAAGTGTTTCAGCGAGCGATTAAAAGGGAGTTATTCCGAATATTTTAGAACTCTTTATTTCGGTTTTATTTTAAAGAAACTAGGTGTTGATAACAATATGTAGAGGAACTAAAAAAATTTCGTTTTTAACACTCCGACGCCTCGCTATGAACTGAACTATGCTCGCGAGGTAGCTTTCCATCGAGCCTTTGCTATACGTACGTGTGTATATATGTATGTACATGCAGTCCACGATTGAGAGAATACAAAGGTTGCGCCGATCTCGGACCGCTATTCCTCTCTTAACGAATTTGACAGAATCGTTGTTTGCATGACATCACACTTGTGCAACTTGTTTACGTTTTCCTTGCAACATTTTTTCTTCTTCTTCCATTCTTGCTCGCGTTTTGGCATTTCTCTCTCGCAATTGCACCAGTGTGACGTCACACAAAAGTTATTCTCAAAAATCCTCTCCGATCGGCGCAATCTTGTATTCTATCATTCTTGCATGCAGTCGTATGTTGGCAGGTGGAGTTTTAAAACGTAACTTTGTACATGTAAATGCTACATATTGTAAATATGTGAATATGTGAATAAGACAAAATGCAAATGGGAAAAGAACAGTAATGAGTAGAGCCTTTAAGTAAACACATATGTACAAATAATGTTATGCGATAGTGTTTTCGGCGGCAACAATAAGTAACAGTATTAAGATTAAAAAGTAAACACAGCAAAATATGTCAACAATTACAGCTCAAAAACGACGTAACCCCGCAAACATATTCTGAGCGTTCAGAATATATGAGTCCGAAAGGTGTCCTAGGTAGGTAAGAAATATGAGTTTCAAAAACAAAAAATTTTTTACTCTTATATGAATCTTTTAGGATTCATATATGAGCCAAGTTATGAGCCAGCACCTTGTGCCAATATAAAAACAATAAAGATTTGAAATTTATATCTAAACTTGTTTAAACAGAAATTGAAAATAATTAGAAAACAAAAAATGAACAAAATTTAGCTTCAGCTGCTGCTATTGAATGCATGTTGGAATGTGTATATGCATGTAAGTATGTATGTATGTTATTTGCAAGGACTTTTTGCGGAATGCCTTTGCAAATATAGTGAGTTGAATAAGACTCAAAGAGCAACCTAAAATTAGAGTCCGAATGTAGCAATTTATGAGGCCGATAAGGGTCTCAAAAAGAGTCATATATGAGGCCAAAACTTGTATTAAAAGAGTCCAAAATGAGCCGTATATGAGGCCAATAAGAGTCCAATATGACTCATATTGAGGCTCATTTGACGTATGAATTTAAGCTCATATAAGTCAACATTCATAGGAAGGGAAACACACTCATATCGGACTCTTAAATGAGCTCATTATGAGCGTAATAGCTCCGAAATAGGACTCCTTAAAGACTCATTTATGACTCCAAATGTTTGCTGGGAAGCAATATCGATGAGAAGTGCAAAAGTGAGCAAAGTATACATAAATATCTACCCAGCAAACATTTGGAGTCATAAATGAGTCTTTAAGGAGTCCCATTTCGGAGCCTTTGTGCTCATAAAATAATTCAAAAATAATATGGACATATGTATAAGTGAATATAAAACTATTTTTTTATGTAAATATTTGAACTAAGGTAAGGCAACCCGGCAAAGTAGCCAGCTAGTCTGTTAAGCAAGCATGTGCACGAAAGAGCATACCCACCATGCAAAACATGAGAACAGGTGAGAATAGGTGAAAAATGAGCAACATGATTTCTTTTATTTAATTTTAGGAAAATGTTATCATTATTACTCCGAAAGTGATGAATTTTTGTGTCAACAGGATTCTCCAAAAGCATCTAATTTACACCAAAGGTAGGAGTGAAAAGATAGGAACCGCTATAGCGAGAGAAATAATTAATTTTGTTTTTAAGTCCCAATTTTGTATAATTAAATTTAGAATTTGAAATGGATAAATCTTTAAGTGCTCGATTATTGAATATTAGTTTAAGACTGTCAGACTCGTACATAGGATGTACAAATATATTTAGGAATTCATGGATAAGTTGATCAAGCGATAAATTTGATGTCAATATCCGTATTATTATCGATAAATTTTATGTCAATATCGTTATCTTAAAATCGATAAATTTTATGTAAATATCGATTTTATCGATAATTTGATGTTTGATCGATAGTTAGGCATTCCGGACTCAATTTAGAGATATAAATGTTAGCATTGTCTCTTGTTCTGTGACATATTTATTACATAAATATTTATTTAACTAACTAACTGCTACATGCGAATCGATACTTGTAAATTTTAATATCGCTCAATGATGTTTTTTTTTTTGTTCCACTTACCTCAACGACAAATGACTATGCTTCCGTCGTGGTCTCTCCGACAATCCTAGAAATTCCAAAATCTCATAGGACACATCCATTTTGTCATCGTCGTCCAAGACGCGATGCATTATCGTCTGATCGACGCCATTATCTATGTAAATGCCAGATTGACTGGCTGCTACCAACATACGTGGACCACCACCACCACCACTGCCGCCTTGTCCACTCCATAGTCTATAATCTATATCTACACTTAGCTGGCACAGCAGCAGCAACACCAGGAATGGGATCCGCAAGACTGAACAGCACAGCCGATGGAGTGCGTTGAGAGCATTCAGGTGTGTGGCGCTGTGACTGGTGGTCGAGGTACTTCTCAGACGTTTACGTAAATATGAAATGTTTAAATGCATTTTTTTTATCTTATTTTTTTGTTTTTTTTTTTTGGGAGAATCGAAGTGCGAGTGTAGATGGGTTAAGTGTGTTTGTATGGCAAATATTTTAGTTGATATTTTGCAGATTTCAATTGTTTTTGCTTAACAAATAACAAATCATCAGTTTTATTGCGTTGGACGGTTGGACGTTGCGATTTAGGATATTGGCATACACTTTTCGTAGGAATTACTAAATACATAAGTTTTAGAAAATGCATGCATATGTATATGTATGTAAATGTGAAAATTTTGTTGCCGCGCCGCGTAGTATTTTTCTCTTGTTGTCTGTTGTTAAAAAAATATGTGCAATGCAGACTACATTTTTCTGCAAAAAGTAAATGTTTTAATATTTTTTTACGCATTCGAATTGAAAAATTTTTTCAACCCAATTTTCCGCATGGTTCATTTACTTGAACAGTTACTCACATAAGTATTTTACGATATTTAAAATGTTTTCCATTTTTTGCAATGTTTGAAATTTTGATTTAAACGTTTTTATTTTGTATAATGAGCTATACATACATATGTATGTATGTAAGTATATAGTAAGTCGCGCGTTAAGTTATATAAAATATTTCTTGCGTATACCGGCACTTTTTCTGGTTTATTTATTTGTTTGTTGATTTGATTGTTTTTTATTCTTTTGAAATAATGTTTTTTTGCGAATTTGTTACAAATTTGTTTAACGGAAAAGTAATTACTTAATTTCGTATATTTGTCTTATTTTCACTGAATTTCACCGAAGATTCACAGCTGAAATAACAAAATACACATTTGAGTGGTTCACAACATCCGAATAGGTCGCAAAAGTGGAGGCCGCCAAGGTAGGATATTAAACGCAATTAAAAATTAAGTTTAATTGTAGTAATAATCACATAAAGTTCAATTTTTACACATACTTATGCACAAGTACATATACAACAGATAAAACTATGGAATATGGCGATTATGGAATATGTTCGTGTCTGGTGGAAGCCTATCGAGGCTATTGCCAAATCCATCATAGTCAATGAATTCAAATTCAAAACATCTGCTCAAAAAGATAATTTGGAGAAATGCTTCACTCATCAAATATTTGCAGACCCTTTTACTTCCTACCAAAATAGATCGAAACCTACCAAATTGTTTACTAACCTAACTAATTCTTCTTCTTCTGCTGGATTGGCACTAAAACCGCTGAAGTTGTTTTGCACGAGTTCAACATAAGAGCGTGTCAGACGTGGCAATATATTTCGATGCAATAAATTTCGATCAAGGCTGTCAAATTGAGAAATCAGTTGCATGAGCAGTCACACCTTGCATGGAAAGTGTCTTTCGAAAGAGGTTTTTATTTCCGAACGGCGAATTGCAGGAAAAATTTCTGAAATCGCTTTTTGGCTGTTCACACAGCGAATGAGTTTCTGGCAATCTTTCTCGATACTAAAATGCAACCATGGGCGGTGGGGTTGTCGTTTGTTTGCTATTTCTCTTGTAAAAGCGAGAAAATATAGGTTATAATTAACATATTTGTCGTGTAAACAATAATTTAACAATTAAGTATATTAAGCAAAATAATATATTTCAAGCATTTTTGATATTTAATTCAACAATATTTTTTATCATTTTACACAAATTCACGATCAGGGCCACACGGCAACACTCGATTAGTTTGACAGCACTTGCAGAAGAAATAAAAATTGCTAGTGCAGCACGAGCAAGTTGAAATATATTTCCGAAATCGATTTTCGCTCTTGCAGTTGCAGTCCCACCTTGCAACTTTTATTTCTGAAACTGATTTCCGAAAGGTGACAGAAAGATCTTTCTGGCTGTTCACACATCGAAATAAAATTTCTCTTTCTCAATTTGACAGCGAATTGCGTGCGAAAGACGGAAATATTGCCACGTCTGACAGGCTCTATAGTACGCCAGTCGATACTTCTTATAGCTGGCTGGCGCGTTGAAATTGAGAAGCATATACATTAGGGTGGTCCAAAAACAGTAATGTCGGAATTGCAATGCTCACATCCCCTAGGACTGTTCTATATCGAAAAAAGTATACTCCTATTTATTTTTTTTAATCAAAAAATATGGACATTGGTCACAAGGTCGCCCATGCTGTTCATATACATAGGTGTTCGCCCTGGTCTTGAAACCTTCCCGTAAGTTGCCTAAGTTTCTGATACAATTTTTGGGCGTTTTTTTTCGTTATGGTTCCCTGAAATCCGACTACTTCTTTGGTGGAAGCGGCGATATGTAATGCCGGCAAATATGGTTCCACAACTTGCATATGTCGGTTTGTTGAAGAGTGATCGGTCGTCTGTTGTGATTGCACATTTACGATGTTGAGCTTTCCTTTCATTGCTGGACGCACGCTTTTGCCTCACAACGATACCTTCCTTGCCCATTCTGTGCGCTCCAAACGCTCATAGAAGGGACCCTAGGTCACCTAAGCCTTCTCCGTCGGGACCTGGGCATAAATGAACAAAGTGTTGAAGACTCACGCTTTGAATCGGATTGTAGCAAGCTACTCATTCAGAGTAATAAACGGCAATAGTCTGCAACTGAGTCTTTCTCCCACCACTCATCCGACGCCGTATTTGCGCTCCTTTACATTTCAGCTATAATAAACGTCACTAGATCGCACGTAGTATTTCTTGCTTTGCTGCGTCCAACAATTTCCTGGATGGCGGTAGTGACAGTCATAGTTTTTTTTTTTGGGTCCAGGTTTCGGGGCTAAGAGGAGCAACCATAGTGCATACCCTGCAGGACAATATAATATGTTAGTGCTTTAGTTATCCCATAGTTTCTAGCTTTTTAGAGCTTTTTGCCTTCGGGTAGAAATTCCGCATGATTTAGTTTTTCGTCATACATACATACATATTTATGTAGTCTAGTATTTAGTCACTCCATTTTCGAAATGTATGACGCCGCTTTAAACGTAGCGCTGAATTTTGTATTAACCTAATCCCCAAAAAGACGTAATCAACATTTTTTCCAAAATTTTTATTTTGATACAGAAATGTTCCTAGAACATCCTGCGTATTTCTGCATCAAAAAATAAAAAATAAATAAAACCTTTTACAAAATTTCGCTTAAGTCTTTTTGGCGGTTAGAACTCGATATGCATGTGCATATGTAAGTATTTACAAAAATTTAAACATGTTTTTTATCTCAGCAATTTCTTTGTATTTACACGCCATTTAAATACTTAATATTTTTTGTTTTGATTTGTTGTTGTATGTAAATAATTGTATTACACGCGGATAGCGAGTGCCAATAGGCATTCCAGCATTAAGCGTATACATTTTCATATCTACATATGTACATACATACATACACAGCCGGTCACTTGTTTGGTATCAGCGGTTTTCCTTTTGTTTATTTAATATTCATAAACTTTTTTTATAAATATAGCATATTCTTTAACAAAAACAATGTAAATCCGATTTTCAAACTATAAACAAATTAAAAAAAAAATCAAAAAAGGCCGCCCCTATTCAAGTGGCCGGCAGTATATAAGTTAATAAGATTTTTGGTATGCATATTTGTAGCCCATTCAATTTTAGTACAATGAAATGCTAGTTTCCAGTTGATGACAATATCGTTGATTTTTAGCTTTTTTTTGACTGTGTCACGGTTTTCAAAAGAAAAATTTCAAAAAAATCAATGGTGTTTTACAGCCACTTAAACTTGCACTTAGTTGCACTAGAATTGAACGGCCCGCTATAAAACTTTTTGCTCAAAAAAATCTGAAATTTTGGTGAAAATTTTCGAAATTTGTACAAAGTTTGAAAATCGGATTTGCATGGTTTTTTTTGGTGGGCCTGATAAAGTTAGAAAGACCAAATTCCACGGTGTTGCAGTATACATATTAGTCCTTAAAATATATATGTATATTTTTTATTTCAAAAATAACTATTAAAAACTTTGAAGCATAATGTGTTAAAAACACATGCAATACTTGTCCTTATTCACGAAATTTTTTTGTTTTCAATTCCACAGAATTTTCTCTTTCATTTGATTCCCGCATTGTGATTCTACATTACACTAAGTTTTAAAATATTTTTTTTGCATTAATCATATCCTTGAAACTCTTTAAAAAATCCTTACATCAGATTAAAAAGGACTCAAAACGCAGTTTTACCATATTTGGCCCGCAGTTTCGCGAGTACATACATTTTTTTTTTTTTTTGTGGAAAATTGACTCTCGCACGGTGTCTGGCTGGACCCATTAGGTACGAATGTGATGTTAAGGATGCTTTGCTGTCCTTGTAACTATCCTTTTATTGGAGGTTGGCTAATAGAATTTTAGGAAAATTCAAAATATTTCAAATAGCTAGCTCATTTACAATACGTTTACTTTATAAGTAAAGTAGAAAAAGGTCGGGGCTGACCCGTCCGCCTAACGGATGGTTAAGAATATATGCTATATTTTCACAAAAAATTTATGGATATTAAATAAATAAACGGAACACTGCCAATACCAAGGATCAAACCCTAATCAAGTGACTTTCAGTGTATACATATGTAGACATAAACAATAAAATTCACTTTGTAGTAAGTATGCGATATATAGAACATGCATACATACATATGTACATATTTATAGTACATTTTACATACATTAGGATGCTCGTGAAATATGCGAAATAACGACAACAACAAAGCGTTTGAGCAGAGAATTAAGATATTGGTGGAGATGCGCGAAGAAAGCGCGGGAATAAAGTTGCTCAAAATGTATGTATGTATGTGCATACAGTCATACCTGCACATATATAAATTTTGGCCCCGTTTGGATTCGGTTAAGGCGTGGCGCACAGGCGTCAAAGTTCAAATTACCCTATGAAGACGTCTTAACCGACTCCAATCGGGGCCAAAATTTCTACGTGATATCTTCGATAATTTGATTTTTTTAAGGACCACCCTAAAGTGCATATATACATATGTAGATACATTGTGTTTGTACATATATATGCAAAAATGTGCGTAAGCAAAAGTTTAATAAAAAGGAAGACCACCAACGCATTTTACAACAACAGCAGCTACTGACAATCCAAGAGATACATTTGTAGCGATGTACATCTGATCATTGATCAATGGTAACGATAGCATTCACTTTATAAATGTGTAGCTCAAATTGATGAAATTATTATTTCTTATAGTTTTTTGCATTTCTTATGAAAATAAAGTTTCACTAATATTTATTTAAACACATTTTAGGACTTTATATCCTTTTCTTATACATACTCCTTTTGCACACACTTATTGAACCAAATAAAATCGTAAACTAAGGTGCGATTCTTTTAAAGCACATCAAGGCGCACATTATACATACTACAAATTTAACCATAATAAGTTTAGTAAATCTCGACGCACTTGCTCCACACACACACTACACACGCCTGCTGAGCATTTTCTATATTTGTGTACATACATACATACACACACAAATGTGCACTTTTATTTCTATTATACGATTGTTATGTACATATATGCGTTTGTTTGTTTTTTTTTTCCTTATATTACTGCCGTATTTGTTGTAAGCGAAACCAATTGAGGGCGCCACCACAACAACCCGTAGCATTGAAGTGCATTGCGCGAACTTCCAGAAATAACTGAGTGTGGTGGCTGGCCGGTGGTAGTAGACTCAATTCGATCGACAATCCGATCCGATTCAACAATGGGCAATGGGTTAGTGCGGCAATTGCGGCATGGAGGCAACGCTGACGAACCTGTTCTGCTCAGCAATCTAGCGCCATTACCATCGCAATTGCCGGCGCTCCACACTCTACTCGCTTTGCTAAGAATTTACATACATACATACTATAGTGTATCTACTGTCGACAGTAGGTATATGTATTAGATCGGGTCGGTAGCCATAGGAAAGAAAAAAGTTTGTTATCAACACCCTCCCCCCCCCCNATCGTTGGAAAAGTATGAAAATAAAGGTTGGTACATATAGTGGCTTCTTTTTAAATACTTAATAAAAAAAAATTAACAAACTCAAATTTTTTCGGTTTATGTATTATTGGTTGATTCGAAAGAGCAAAAGTAATTTTTCGAGCAAAATCGTTGCCCATTCCGAGCTGCTCCAAGGACCAAACTGAGATGCGATAACGAAGCGTGAAAGTTTGAGTATTTAAGGTCGATGGTAAGTCGATGTTCCAGAACTGGGTCGCACACTCTCGTCTACGGCAGAAAAATTCTCGTCAATGTCCACCGTACGACGGCGGTAACCGCGAGTGTTGTCCCATAGCATGCCAGTCTCACGAACTTTTTGCACAAACTTGGGTACAGTAGGCGCGCCGGATGCCCCACTTCGGCCAAAACTTCTTTTCACTGAATGCACTGTTTCGGCTACACAACATTCGCTTTGAAAACATGTTTGCATTATTTCCCACCGTTGTTCAAACGTTCCGTAGAGATGTCATACAGACTTTCTGTAAAGATTTCCTGTGTGAAAGAGCTGTCATGGTCAAAATGATATATCATTAAAAAAAAACCCTGTATAAGACCACCCTTTGAAGAAGACTCATTTAATATCGGATCGAGAACAGAAGTTTTTATGGAATCGAAATCCTCTCAAAATAAGCTTTCAAAATAGTAATGGCAGTTTTTTTTATGAAAAACGACGCAGCCTAATGTACATATTGTCCATGTACAAGCCCGAGTGCAAGAAGATTGGAACACAGAGATACAAAAATATTTACTTATATACATATGTATGTATGCTCATACATATGTATGTGGAATAACTTGTTTGGCTTGTCAGAGCAGTGTAAGTATCTGAAAGATCGTTTCATTCGCTGCTTACAAAAGCAAGAGTAAACGATCGTAGATGGCATCTGCTGGAGAGCATCACTGGCGCTTGCTGGAAATGTTCATATGCATAAATGTATGCACATTTATATGTAGATATGCATATATATATATATATATATATATATTTTATGTGAGCGTTTCAAGTGCTATTTATTGTGTATGAGATGAAGCGGTGTCGAAGGATATCGGATGAATATGTAAATATCTAATACGCACTAACATATCGATGTTTGTATGTATATATGGACATCGTCACCTGAAATCCAAATGATGATGATTTGGGGAGTTGTACCTAATTCGATGAAATCCCTCATATAAATCAAAAACTTAATTTTGAATTTTTTATTAGTTATGACTTTTTCGTATTTGAATTTGCGCAAAGAGGTCAGAGTCAAAACCTTCGAGTTTTGGCAAGCTGTAAACAAAATTCTTAGATCTGTTGCAGTGTAGTAGCCAGCTAAGTTCGCCCCAAATTCTTTAACTGTACGCTTTTGAAAAATTCAGATCTCTACAAGAAAGGCGACGTTTGATGCACATCATTTCGTAAATCTTGACTTATTTCGCTTAGGGAAGATTACTGGAATAAGGCGTCAAATGTTATACTCTGTAGCATAACTAAGATGCGCCAAAATGCATAGACTGAAAACATTGGAGATATATGACGGCCTTTTATCAAACTTAAATTTCAAAAAAATCACTTAGCTTCAATCAGCTGACCACAAGGGTATATTCGCGCAATTAAATATATTTGTACATATGTATGTATATGTGGTCCTCACAACCCGCCAAAAATATAAACAATCTAAGATATACATATATGTATGTTCTGAAACATCTTCTTCTTGTCTGTCATCATTGAACCAGAACATATTTTATAGAATTTATCCATGGATGCACATTAGGGTGGTCCAAAAACAGTAAAGTCGGTCTCACTCCCTAGGATTGTTCTATATCGAAAAAGAGTATACCCCTGTATTTTTATAAGGGAAAAATAAAACTTTTCGTAAAAATGATATAGAATTCTTGAAAACCAATATTTTTCGATCGCAAAACTCTGGTTCTCTTCAGGAGGATTTCAATAATTGTTTAACCATTTTTTAATACTAACGATTTTTTATTGGTCGCCCCATTGCATTTTTTGGGGGTTTTGTGGTTTTTTGGCGGACATATAAATTATAATTGCGATGAAAAAATGGTTAAATAAACAATTGGGTATTATTGTTGGGAATCTCCTGCAGATAAACAGAGTTTTCTGGTATGAAAATACTGACTTTTAAGTATTCTATACAAATTCTACGAAAGGTTTTTTTTTCCCATATAAAAATACATGGAAAACTTAGGGCGCTTTGAGCGACCTTCAAATATTTTTTGATTTCAAAACAAAAAAATAAGGGCATCCTTTTTTCGGTATAGGAAAGTCCTAGGGGGTGCGAGCATAAAAATTCCTACTTAAATTTTTCACATGCATTTTTGGACTACCCTAATGTCCATACATGCAAACATACATACTAAATTTACATGTGCACATATGTAAGTACATACTAGGTATATAGTACGAATGGATTTTCCTAGCAACTCGATTGTTGGTGGCGCTAAGCCAATAAGTCCGTGAGTGTTTTTTTTTAACAAATTCTTGTAAGTTTGTTTGCAGGTAATGTTTCGATCTTTGTCTTCGTGGAACTGCTGGCGCTTCAGGACAGAGTTTGTTGTGTATGTTGGTGCATATGCATGTATGCACAATATGTACATATGTATGTATGGATGCATGCATTTTCAATGAGTCAGACATATACCCGTAGGATGCAGTGAATTCATATACCCTGCTGGGAAAACCAAGTGTACACTGATAATGACCACATTTTCATGAAACGAACGTATATTAGTAAAGTGCATAAGCAGCATTGGCTGCATTGGGAGGGCTGGCACTGTTTTATTATTTTATTTCAATTCGAAGGAAGATGAGGCACCGACTTCTAATGTAATTTCTCGCAGGTTGTGCGCGATTTGACGGTTACATGGACGCGTAGAAAAGCATTTTTACCTGTGCAGTTTTGGCCCTGAAGTTATCTGTGACTGATTGAAATTTTTAAAAACCAATTAGCACAGTTTGAAAGCAGTTAATAGCTGTGCAGCGATAAAAGGTTCGACTTTTTGGTCGTGTGAAAGTAAAATACATACATACATACATATATATACATTAGACTGTGCCAAATAAAACGAAAAGTTTTTCCTTCGGTCCTGTATGAAAAATTTCTTTGCCGGTTACAAAAAAAGTGTGGTGCCAAAATTGCAGCCTCCAATCTTCATTTTTCAGTTAGCGCTCGCAAAAACATTAATTTTTAATGAAAAAAATTGTTTTTGCTACTTTTTTTTTGATAAACTATTAGAGAAGATAAATGAGGGCTTACATTGTTCCAAAATATATATTTTTTTGGCCGACAACAAAATTTTCATATGTTACAGAAAGAAGAAGGACACTGGTTTTATTTGACACAGTATATATGAATCATAAAAAATTTGTGAAAAAGGTTAGGTAACTATAGATATTTGCAAATTGTACATGCATGATTAGTTTATTATTGTAAATAAAAAAAAATAATTTTTACGATTTCTTACGTAAGTTAAGTTATGTCTAGACCAACTGAGCTTTAGGATAAAATACTAAACTAATGCATATATACAAGTAATTTACACCTTCCTAGTTTTTTGGTTACCTGAATAAAAATTATTATTTTTTAGATTAAATATTTTGTTGTTATAAACTTAATAAAAAATAATTTACCACACAAATACACAGTCCCACGGTAGTTGGAATCGTAAATCTAGCTGGCCGACAGTCAAAATTGTATTTGTTTTCTAATTACTATATGATACTGTTATGCTTTTTTTCAAAACAAAGTCTCGATTAATAATCGTTATTTTTTCATCGATATTTATGGCCTTATTCATAAAAAATAAAGTAGCTTTAAAAAAAGTTTATA